ACTACAGCAACAGCAACACCAACACAATCTCACTGCAGCAGAAACATCTTCTTCTTCTGCCTATCCATCATCAATCCATGCAGCAAATATCAATACCCCCAGGGGCTCCTTTGGGGGCCCCCCGGGGGCCCCCCCTGGGGGCCCCCCCGGGGGGCCCCCTGGGGGGGCCATTGGAGGGGCCCTTGGGGGGGCCCCCGGGGGCCCCCCTGGGGTCGCCATGGAGGGAAAACTTGGGGGGCCCCCCGGGGGGGCCCCCCTTGGGGGCCCCCCTGGGGGGGCCCCTGGGGGGGCCCCCGGGGGCCCCCCGTTGGGTGGAGGGTTTGATTTGTGTGTGTTTGTGGATTGTGCTGAGAAGAAGGCTGAGGAGGTGGAGGGTTTTTATTTTGTGTGTCGCAGCAGCGCGCTGCAGCAGCAAAAGGAGACGCTGCAGCAGCTGATAGATGCTGCAGCAGAAGAAGCAGGGATGCAGCAGGTATTTTACTCATTAGATTGCTGCTGCTGCTGCTGCTGTTGCTGCTGCTGTTGTTGCTGTTGCTGCTGCTGCTGTTTTTTGTGCTGCTGCTGCGCTTGTTGGTGCTGCTGCTTTGCTGCTGCTTGTTCTGCTGCTGCTGCTGCTGCTGCTGCTGCTGCAGCATATATTCTTGTTGTTCCTGCTGCTGCTGCATATACCGCTGCTGCTGCTGCTGCTGCTGCTGCTTCTGCTGCTGTTGGGTGCGCAGGAGGCTGCTGCTCTGCGTGAGGTGCAGCAGCAGCTGCTGCAGCAGCAGGAAGAAGCGGTGGGGTGTGAGGATTTTGCTGCTGCAGCAGCAGCAGATGAGCAGCTGCAGCAGACAGCTGAGAAGGTGGGGGGCTCCTCTGTCTTTTTTTTATTTTTTCTTTTTTTATTTTTTTTTGTTTCTGTTTTGTTTCTTTCTTTGTTTTTGTTTTTGTTTTTCTTTCTTTTTTTTTATTTTTCTTTCTTTTTTTTGTTTTTGTTTTTGTTTCTTTCTCTGTTTCTTTCTCTTTTTCTCTCTCTCTGTCTTTGTCTTTGTCTCTGTTTTATATCAGTTGATGAAGAGACAAAGACAGAGAACTTTGCTGCTGCTGCTGCTGCTGCTGCTTCTGCTTCTGTTGCTGCTGCTTCTGCTGTTGCTGCTGCTGCGGTGTTCACCGGAAGCCCCTGCCTGTGGGCCTCGTGCTGCTGCTGCTGCTGCTGCTGCTGCTGCTGCTGCTGTTGCTGCTGCTGCTGCTGCTGGTGGGGCGCGGCATTTTTGCTGCTAGTGCTGCTGCTGCTGTGTTTTGCTGCTGCTGCTGTTGTTGCTGTTTCTGCTGCTACTGGTGTTGCTGCTGCTGCTGCTGTTGCTGCTGCTTCTATGGGGTCGTCTCCTTCGCTCTTGGTAGCTTTCCTCATACTTGCTGCTGCTGCTGCTGCTGCTGCTGTGTTTTGCTGCTGCTGCTGCTGCTGTGTTTTGCTGCTGCTGCTGCTGCAGCTGAGTTGTGTGCAGCTGCGGTCTCTCCACTTGAAGCAGCAGCAGCAGCAGCTGCTGCAGCAGCTTGCGGATATAACAGATGGGTTGCTGCAGCAGCTGCAGCAGCTGCAGCAGCAAGCAACAGGGGAGCAGCAGCAGCTGCAGCAGCAGCTGCAGCAGCAGCTGCAGCAGCAAACAGAACTGCAGCAACAGATGCGTGCTGAGGCAGAGGAGGTAACTGCAGCAGCAGCAGCAGCAGCAACAACAACAAACAACAGCAACAACAGCAACCGCAGCAGCAACAGGAACAGCAGCAGCAGCAGCAGCAGCAGCAGCAGCAGCAACAACATGCACGGATGCAACTGTTCTGCCTGCCGCTTCATTGCTCCTTGTTCTCCTGCTGCTGCTGCTGCTGCTGTTGCTGCTGCTGCTGCTGCTGCTGCTGTATGTGTTGCTGCAGCGGCTGCAGCAGCTGAAAGAAGACGCTGCTGCATTTGAAGCAGAAGCAGAAGCAGCAGCAGCAGCAGCAGCAGCAGCAGCAGAAAATATGAAGGCAGCAAAACAAGAAGAAGAGGATACACTGCTGGACCTGCAGCAGCAACGCTTGTAAGCGATAGGCACACTGCTGCTGCTGCTGCTGCTGCTGCTGCTGCTCTTGCTGCTGCTGTTGCCGTTGCTGCTGCTGTAGCTGCTGCTCCTGCTGATGCTGTTGCTGATGCTGCTGCTGTTGCTGCTTCTGTTGCTGCTGCTGTTGCTGGTGTAGCTGCTGCTGTTGCTGCTGCTGCTGCAGCAGCTGCTGCTGGTTGCTGCTTCGTTGCTGCTGCTGCAGTTGCTTCTATAACAGTTGCTGCGGCTGCTCTGTTTGCTGCTGCTGCTGCTGCTGCTGTTGCTGTTGCTGCTGCTGCTGCTGATGCACCGCCTAATCCGCCGTTTGTATTGCTTTTTCTCTCTCTTTAAGGTATCTAGGGTTTAGGGTTTAGGGTTTAGGGTTTAGGGTTTAGGGTTTGTGGTTTAGGGCCCTAGAGAAGCAGCTGCAGGAGACGCAGCAGCAGCTGCAGCAGCTAGATATTAAAACAGCAGCAGAAAAAGAAAGAATAGAAAGGTAAGCAGCAGATTTATTTATTTATTTATTTATTTATTTATTTATTTATTTATACATTTATTTATTTATTTATTTATTTAT